TTTTTTCTAAAAGATTTCTAGATTGTCTATCCTTACAGTATTTGGAAATTCCATATTTGGTAATAATCCTGACTGCACTATCGATCGATAACAAAATGCACGGTGATGTAATTATGGTCAATAATTAAATAAATTTTTGGAAGTCTTTCTTTTAGCATCAAATTCTTTACTTGATCCAACTACAGAAATGTCTTCCTCCGGTATCTTGCAGTGCTTTCAGTGGAGTCACTCTGTTACCTGTCGAGTCTTGTTCCTTCAGCCACAAAATCCTATGTTGAGAAACTTAAGACTTAACCTATTTCCATCATATCTCTCAAGATCTTACGCAATTTCCACACTTCCTCCACCTCGCCACACCTCTCCTGATGAGTCTGCCTCCTCCAATTGGAAGAAACTTACAAGTATAACTGCAAAACGGCTTCCGGTATGAACATATTTGTTGTTTGTTGCATTACTCGGTTGAGTTTCTCACCATCTTTTCACTATTTGCAGACTGCCATACTGGCGAAAATATTTGTAACTGGCTTTCTTGGTTTCATATCAGTGGACCTTCTATACGCTTGGTATCGGAACTGGCACAATGAACGTCTAATTACCAATACAATAGAAAAAGGCACTCGACCTGAAACTGATGTTTCGGATGATGAATTCGTTCCTCGACCTCTAGTTGTAGAACGCCTTAAGAGAATTTTTCAGCCGTATAAAAATCAATCATTTTATCATATGGTTTGCGGTGAACACGGGACCGGGAAGACAACACTGACTAGAATTTTGGCAAAAGAAGTTGGACAGGGAGTTATATATGTTGATATTCCTGCAAATATCATGCAATTGGGCGAAGCGATTGGAAAAGCCATTAACTTTTCATTTGAGGAGGATATCTCTTTCACGGCACAGCTATTACGGAAAATCTTGGGCGATACTAGTAGTGAGTTTATTACTGCTTTGTTTTTAACAACAACATATTTTTAACACTGATTCTCTTTTACAGAGAAAATCGATTATCCCGAGTGGGTGAGAGCTTTGGATGCCTTTAAGCATGCTTCCATAATATACAAAAAGAAGCACGGCAAACCACCAATTATTGTTTATGATAATATCAGCCGACTAGTTTACAAGAATCCGGAAATCCTTGATATCCTTCAGGATGATGCCAAGGATAATGCCGATGACAGAAAATACATCGCCGTGTTTGTCAGCAGTGAAGGAAGTGTTCCCCGAAGAATGGAATGTAAGTATTTGACAATGTTTTTTGGTGCTCTCGAAAAAATTGTATTATTTACAGATTGTGATTCTTATTTCTAGCACGTAGTTCTTGGTCACGTGCAAAGAAACCAGTAATGGAAATTGGTGATCTCAGCGAGAAGGAATCAATGGATTATCTGGTCAACAAGCGCAAAATTAGCTCTTCAGAAGCAAATAAAATCTATGAATTAGTTGGTGGTCGTATCGTAGAGCTGAAGACTGTGGCGGATGATTTCCTGGCTGGACAGTCCTTAAAAGGTAATATTGATTTTATATTTTGTGTCAATCGAATTTATATAGTTTTGCTTTGGATTAATTGCTTAACTCTTTTTCTGTAGTCATTAAACAGCAAATATTAAGAGAAGTCGAGAAAAAATTCCAATCTGCACAACTCCTCCGAAAACAATCACATCATGAAGTAGGGAAGCACATCATCAGTGCTTTATTGGATTCTAAGGAGCTTAGCTTTACAGCGTTTATGGAATTTTTCAATAAGTACGAAGATGCCAACGAAGTCTTGGAGACCAATGTATTTGCATATCACCCAGAGAAAAACGCCGTCACATTTCAGTCTCAATCGGTAGAATACTATCTTCGGGAAAATACTAATATATTCATCAAATAAGGTCATGGTTTACATTTTTAAAGAAAATATAGAAGTTTACATGTATACTTGATGTCACTAATGCATAATAAAGCCTTTTGTCGCTAATTAAAAGGTCCGCGATGGTATAAACTTTATGATTTTTTAATACAATCGAGTAGCGAGCTTGGTATTCACTTACACCCCTACATGAATCAATGATCTGATTTAGAAGAATTGTTGCACATTGGGATTTTGTTTTTTTGTAAAAAAACAATGGCTTCTATCGTTACAATTCTTATTTTTCCGATATATATGCCACACCCAACACCACACTCAAATACATGCATACACTGGTTAAAAAGATAAAGTCCGAAATGTGGGGCAAACTTTATTCTATGCCTCCACTACTATGCTTTTATCCGGGAATTTAAGGGTATTGTTCCAAGGGATAGGTGATGTGAAGCATTGAGTCTTTAACTCCTGAATCAGTTCTGAATTTTCAGGATAAGCTTCTAATACCTTGATGAGAGGAATCCATGGATCTTTTAAATTTTCGCAATACAAATAATAAGTTTTACTACTTTGCTTATCGATCCACCACTTACCTCGCAAACTCATATGTTTTTCCCTACATAGTGGACAATGTAAACCAAGAACCCAGTAGGCGTCAGATTGATGCTTATCTTCCTTATCTATGTTAAAATTGAATGCGTCTCAATACTTTGGTATAATACGTCATCATACATAAGATATTAATATGTCTCGCAAATCTAAAAATAGCAGACGAAAAACTCAAGGTAGATTCACTGATAACCCTACACAGTATATGCAATTTTTAAACCGGGATAACTATCATAAATAAGAATACGCAAGATGTGAAAGCGATATTTGATTATGAAGTGGTATGTATATATCTCAAAGTGAATAATATCGATTTGGCTTTTTATGTATTCTGGATCAGGAAAAAATTTCGATCGCCCCATATACATAGTAATGGTATATAGGATATCTCAAGACACGAAGTCGGTATTTAATTATGGAGAGGTAAATTCGCCTCTAAAATTTACTTTATTAATTTGATAATAATATAAAAGAAAGGGAGTGGGGGTATACCTGTTATTCGGAATCTACTGTTGAGCTGTTTTCCATATTCCTGATCGATTTTGTTAATGGCGCACAAGGTATCAAAGATGTATTAACATATATGATATTCTACAGAATACAGTGGTGTGAAAGTTAGAAATCGTAAGTTAAAACCCACTTAAAAGTATCTTACCCTCAAAATCAACAAGGTCTCTATAAATTTAGCCACGACAACCGAATCTGATTGTTGTACCGGAATTCTTGAATCGTGTAGATGATAATATCGGTCAATGTTAGCTCCATCCCTGAAAAGAACATTCAAATATAGCATAGAGCCCGCTACTTGTAATCCGATAATTCCAAATTTGTCCTTGTCGGGCTTGCAACCTTTGTGGACCAATGCCATCCCATCGTTTGTTTCACGCCACAACTTCATAGCATCATCATCTTGCTTATTCTTTGTGCAAAATAAACGCGAACACTCAGTATACATAAGTTCATATTTTTTCCCTCTATCTTTCATGACAAACATGATATCTGGCCGTCGTCCCAATTTTGTTTTGCCTTCATCATTTGAACCACGTTTCCTATCTGCGCTGGCAATACTTTGACGTTCAGAGCTAAGAGAAAAAAACATAAATTAGTGTTGCGATAGATTAGGATAATATTCAACTTTCACCTAAACGTAACATACGTGCTGATAAACGTGGACATTCCATATGGTAGATTCTTCAATAAGGCCCGAATTGCCGGAACTATTATGTTAGTTACATAGGTGCCCTCATTTAGCGATTCTGCGAACTCGGGTCCAAATGCCAGATTCTTCCAAGAGTCGCTTCTAATAAACCGGATGTTATATTATTAAGTAAAGGAAAACAATGCTAATTTAAAAATTACGGTGTGCTCACAATGTTTCTAGAATCCCTACTGTAACATTTGCAAGCAGTTCAGCCGGCTCTTTCCATAACCCATCATGCGAAAGTCCTTGTGGTAAGTTGTCGACATCACGCACAATAAAGCTTCTCACAAATTCATTACATTTATTTCGTACAACTGATGGAAGGAAGTTAGGCACCATCTTCCGCACTGGTTTCTAATAATAGATTGAATTAGATCACTATTCACCTATGGAACATTCTAATCAGTACTTACTTTGAAATAATCCTGTAAATTTTTCGGTAATTGTTGCACCAGCACTGAATCGTCACTAATAACCTGACTAGCCAAAGGATCCTTCCAGGTTAATTCAGAAATGATCACCTTTTCTACCCCGGAGTATAAATGCTGGTAAAGCGCTGACGTGTTTTTCTTGAGTTTCCCCTTCAAACTATTTATGTTCTTTTGGATTTTTTCTGAATTAAAAGGCACCTCCTCATTCGTTTTCACAGCTCCAATGGCCCGCAAACTATAAACAGCCTTATAAGAAATTTCGAACTAATGCAGAAATATTATCGGTTAGTTTATATCCAATTATAAAAAGATAATTTCCGAACCGCATGCGACATCAGAATATATACAAAGTCCTATCCATATGTGGCCATCACACAGATAAGGCTTTGTACGATACTAAAGTAACCACATAGAACCAAGCATAGGAGCACGGCCTAAAACAACTCCCCGCTGTCGAGGAAATTTCCTGTTGGCGGGCTAATGAGATGCTTAAACCGTTATGCCCGCTTCTTCAGTGTGGTATCGCCACATATTAATATGTTCTCATCACTCGGAATTATCTTTACGCTTTTCATAAAAGTTTTTTAACCAACCTCTGGAAGAATCTCAAGAAGAGTCGTATGGCGTGAGGAACCTCGAGTGTTGTTGTTATTAACAAACGATACTGCCCGCTCTATAATATTTTTCAACTCGTTTTTCTGCACCCATGGATCATCTTCTATAGCTTGATAAATAACAGATCCAGCGGTTATATGCTCTTCTTCTGCATTAGTCAAAAAATTAAAAATTTTAGTATATAAATGGGTGGACATTTTAAAAATACGGTTATTTACGAAATATTAGAAATGTAGAAAGCGTAAAAATCGCAAATAAAAAGCAATAAATATTTATAACTCGATATACTGCCCTTTTTAAACGTATTCCTTCCGCGTCTTCCTCTAGATTTATTGAATGAATAATAATAATAATAATGCAGAGAGATAAAGCAATGCGAATGTATTTACGTCAAAAAAAATTTTCTTACAAAGAAAAAGTATGCACATGAGGTAATTAATCGAATTTGGTTAATCGCACAAATAAATCATGCATGCATTATTATGGTCGTATGCATTAGAAATTCTCAGAACATTTTTTGTTGCACAGCCTCATTTATCATTTAGCACATTTGGAAATTATATGCAATTGGTTAATCAAACTTTATTTATATGATATAAAAAATTGCCAAAGTTATAGACCGTGACCCAGTGTCACGATTGCCTTATAACATCACATACTTAAAGAAAATTTAAGTTCCAGTATCCTTTCTAACCTGAGATGCTACATATTTGATATTGTCCAAACTTAAATTCGAAATAGATGATGCCGTAAATGTTTTTATTCGTTGGATATATACCATCCGTTGATTTTTATCATCATTAATACGGAAAAAAAGGTCATAAACCTTTCGAGCTCTTTCCGTTTTCTTTCGAATTGTAGGTTTGGAAATCTCCTTTGGGAGCTGATCTCTAACTTCATTATTAATCTTTTTCTGGGCTTCGTGTTCTGGCAGATCTTTATACTGGGTAAGACGTTTTTCTAATTCCTCCCCAAAGTAGTAATAACTTCTTATTAGTTCGTGACGCGCATTATCATTTTGTTTTTCAGCATTAGAAATTTTTAAGTACAAATCGAAAAAAATCTTATTCTCGCTTCCTCGTGTGGATTCTCTTTGGAGTGCTTCCCTTTCCTTAACTTCAGAAATTCGTGGGATATCTGTGATCAATTCCTGGATAAGCCTTTTTAATATGCGAGAATCCTCGTCCTTAACCTGTTTCTTAACTTTTTTACTGGATGATTTTTCGGTGGAATCACTAGCCCGCTTTTTACTACTAAGATTGGGAGAGTTTTTGATTGGAGTATCTACCGATCCATCCGCATCATCATCCGCATCATCCATTTCCTCATCTTCTTGGATTACTTCTGTATTGAGATTACTCATCCTCCTAACTATCGATGAAGTACTTGACTGAGATGATTGTTGAGAAAACCTTCGTTCAGAGACCATGGGCTCGACAGATTTATTACAACCAGGAATAGGACATATATTTGAATCTGTAAGTGAAATTTTTTTCTCAATACAATATCTATGGTATGTGTGTCCACATGCGAGGATTGTAAATGGTTCATAGCTAACTGTTAAAATTTTTTTATCACATTCCGAGCATGGTGCTAGTTCAGTAACATCGATATTTTGGACAATTGTATGGTTGGTTTCTTTTAAAATATTCAGCGCGAAGATTTGGAGGTTAGAAAGAGACATGATAACAGTTTTATAATAAATCTTTATGGCAAATACACATTGTTTTATAATACTAGTAGTTTCAATGGATCATTCTGTTAAAGATGCAAAACACTACAATCGATAAATTAGTAATTTATTCTCTATGGGCGATCTCAGACGATTTTCCTACAACATCATACATTAATTAAACGTTTCTATGGGCGATCCGTTACCTTTACCAATCATAATATTTGCATAATTTCTCTGATAGGTAGGCCCTCATTCGATGTCAAAAAATAAGCTCAATACACACCAAAGAAATGGTATTTGTGGAATCATGAATTTTTTTCTTGCAAAAGTGATCAGCATGAAGAATCTTCACGCGCACGTGATTTTTTTATTTTGAATAAATCTATGCCTTTTATTATATAAAAAAATTATTATCGATCATGCAATCCGAATTAGATTTATTAAGACAAGAGAATGCCAAACTTGTGGCTAGAATTACAGAATTAGAACAGACTGCAAAAGAAAAATATGAGCTCGAGATTAGAATTGCCGAATTGGAACATGCTATGGAAGAAAGTGTCAGACGTGAAGCTGAAAATGTTGAGCTTAAAGCCAAAGTAATGAAATTAAGTCACGATTTTGAGGAGCTCAAACAGCAAACTCAAGTCATTACTAATATGCAAGAGATGTCTTCTATTGGTAGAGCCAGCACAACTGAAAATATCTCGCCTAATTCATCACCTAATGAAGATCTCTCTAATGAGAGGAGTTTGCATAACAAACAATCTTCAACTAATGATATTGATTCCGAGTCTTTAGAGCAGACACAGAACACTGTTTCTTCTGAAATAAATTCTGACAATACTCCCAAACAGATGGAAAATAGATCGGATAACATGTCTAATTCTGATGTATGTCAGAAGTCGATAGCACAATGTTCTACATCATCTATCCACACAGAGACTAAATTGTTAGAAGATAAGGAGATCAATGATTTTCTGGATCGGGAATGGAAGGAAAAGAATAGTAATATGATTAGGGAGAGAAACAAGGAAAAGAAATTATTACAAAGTAACGAAGATTCCACTTCTCGAAC